ATTGAAGCAATGGGCCAAGCAAAGCAAAGCTGTTTTTTCCTTGTTCTGCGGACTGCTCAGCTGCCAGACGTTTCCATTTTCCGGTCTGGGTCCATATCGCTGTATAAGTTTTCTGTCAAGGGGTTCTGCATTAGGGGGTGGCAGCACTTCTCACCAAGCCCCTGTGCTCATAAACATGACCAGGACTCTCACTGCCTGTGGCCTATGGCAACAGGAAGACTTGGCCTCCATCACTCTAAACTTGAGGAGGTGAGGGAACCAGAAGAAAATTCCAGTCCCACCAGCTTTCCCAATCGTAGAAGGCCCTGCGGAGGCTTCAGACTCAGAGAACCCGACCAGATCTCAGACCCACCATCGCCTCATTGCCTATAATCTGCACATGGGACTGTGGGCAGCAAACACAGATGGCAGGGACCTTCAGACCACAATGCTTGATTTCTCCATTTTACGGTTGCTGCAGAGCCTGAGGTCCAGAGAAAGAAAATAACTTGCCCAAAAAGGATATCTAGATGATTATCTTACCACAGGGGATCACTGATGACTGAAACATAAGCCCTTCTACTAATTAAACATCATTTCATCTTTAATTACTATATTTTAGCCATTTTTTAAAATGTTCATTCTTTTAAAAAAAAAAAAAAAAAAGGAAGCCACAAAGCAAAATAAGTATCTCTTTAACTAAAATAACGATATCAACTGTGGAATGGTCACTTCTCTGTGATAGCTACTGAGCAGGAAGAGCAATGAGTACCAACTGTCCTGCTAGTTCTCCAGGGCAGACTAGGGAGATGCCATAGACCAGTGGTCCCCAACATTTTTGGCATTAGGGACTGGTGGTCCTATGAGGAAGACACAAAGCAAAATAAGTATCTCTTTAACTAAAATAACGATATCAACTGTGGAATGGTCACTTCTCTGTGATAGCTACTGAGCAGGAAGAGCAATGAGTACCAACTGTCCTGCTAGTTCTCCAGGGCAGACTAGGGAGATGCCATAGACCAGTGGTCCCCAACATTTTTGGCATTAGGGACTGGTGGTCCTATGAGAATCTAATGCCTGATGGTTCGAGGCAGAGCTGAAGTGGTGATGCTAGTGCTGGGCAGCGGCTGCAAATACAGGTGAAGCTTTACTCACTCGCCTGCCATTCACCTCCTGCTGTGCAGCCGGGTTCCTAACAGGCCCATGACTGGTACCAGTACGAGTCCGCGGCCCGGGGCTTGGGGACCTATGCCATAGAGCACTTGGTAGGAGCATGGTTACTCACTCTGATGTGCACCTCAGAGGTTCGACGTGCACCTGCAGCATTCTAACTCTCCTTTAGAAGCTATTTGGAACTACCAACTATAATTTATTTATCCAAAGTTTCTATGAACTTACTCAGGCTTTCAGTCTACTAATACCTTACAGTTGAAACAACTGAAGACATGTCGTCACCTCCAGAGATCACAGCAGAGGTGCCCTGCTTTAGCTACAGCTAAAGGTTCAGCCCCACAAACCTATCTCGAGGCCTCAAGTTGGCCTGTAGGTGCTGAATTTTTACCCAGAGACCCTGTTTTCAAAGATTTGGTTTAGCAAATTTATTATTTGTTTCTCATTTAAAATAATCCAACTCATATCTGCTGCCCATAAGAGTTTCCAAACAGGAGATAACTAGCATCGCCAAACTGATCTGCTTTCTCAACCCGGAATCAACGCATTTTAATTAGCTAGCGACCTTATTCTGAACGAATATTTGGTCCCCTCCCCCCGACATACACACACACATACACGCCTATTATTTCCTTCTCAGAGCCATGGGGATCCAAAGACCTCGTAGACAATGCTGGGACATAGAACTTACTGTACCAAAGCCACCACATTGCCCCAAACTGAAAGCAGCCTGGAATCTGGAATAGCCACCAAAGTCTTGCTGTATTGCCCTCCCAGCAGCTAATTTATCTATGATCTATAATTACACCAAATTTCCAAGGACTGGGGAAAACATTTCCCATGAGCGAGAAGTTAATTTATTTGCAGGGGGAAATGAATGGCTCCCTTTGCTTTCCTGACCCTCCCCATAGGCACCAGGAAACAACACGAAGTGACTCTGAAGAGAAATCCCAGACAAGCCTTCGGTTATGTAAGATGGCCTAAAATCAGCCACGGGTGACAGAGAATATAAATTCTGCAACCCACGGTAATGGGTCCGAGGACTCTCTAAGCCGGGGTGTAGAATCTATGTAAACACACGCCCTATTGAGAAATGACTTGTTTTATGTATGTCATACTTTGGGGGAGGAGTACTGAGATAGTGTGTTTGGAACAAATTATCAAATTTCTGCTTTATACGATCACGGGTAAGAAAGTTTCATTGAAAAAGCTAAGATTAGTGGAGTTCACAGTATTAGGAAAGGCTTCAAGAAGCCCTCTCCTCCTTCTGTGCCTTGTCATTTATTTCATGAAAGCTAGAATTCTTTCCCCTTTGGTAAAAAAAAAAGAGATTTAGAAGCCTAATGGCATCTTAGGATTGGAAGTAGCAACATTTGAGACCATCCATGGGGGGTGGTGGGGGGGGGAGCAGAATAAGATCATTTGGAAGCCCCAATAAGAAAAATTCATTTCCCGATCAAAGCATATTAACTCTAACAACTACCAACCCACCAGAAAGCACTCAAAGTAATGAGAACCGTAAGAGGGAGGAGGGGGGAAATGAGGGGATAATAATTTTCTTCTGCTGTTAGACCAGACCTGTTCTTTAAAACAATCAGCTGAATTCAGACTGGTATCTCTCAAGCATCCTCCCCATCCATCTCTGCCACCCCCTGGGCCGGTGAGGAGGGGAGGGAGATTCCTTCATTTCACTCCCCCAGCCTTGTTGAAGAAGTGCAGAAGAGCCAAGGAACACACTCTCACCGACCATAAACTTGATTCTCCACAAGGTGTAAGACATTCCAAACACCCATGTGGTAAGGGCTCCTGCCACCCTCCTTCGAAGTCAACATTCAGTGCTTACTAAGTACCAGGCCCTGCACTAGGCACTTCACATGGATGCTCTCATTTAATCCTATGAGTTATGTTACTACCCTCATTTTACAGGTGAGGAAAATGAGTTGGATAACTTGCCCAAGGTCATATAACTGGTGATTACAGGGCAGGGACTTGAGCCTAGTGGTCTGTCTCCAGTTATAGCATTCTTGACCATTGTTCTAGGCCACCATATGGTTTCAGGGTGCATGTGGGCCTCAGTGACTTTCACAGACATGCACACAGCTCTGAGTCTGACTTCCAACACCTCCCCACCACAAAAGAAAAGGTCCTTTCTCTTGAAATATTTGGACTGGGCCCCATGGAATGGCTGCAATTGGCACACAAAAAGAAGTCAAAAATGCCCCATGCTTCAGAAGCCAGAATGAAATGCCACCGTTTTGTGTTGTGGAACAGCCTCCTGATTTCTTGACATCCTCCCAACAATGAAGAAAAAACAGACTGTTCAAAACAGACTGTTTATATCTTCTAGAGAGCATAAGGATTTCAACCTCAGATGAGCTTTGAGACTTAGTAGTACTTTGCAAATGGGAGGAACTAGAAAGAAGACCATTTCTGGGCTACAGAGTATATTTCATTCAGAAAGAAATTCAACTTTTAAAATGTTTTAAAGGATTAATCCTAAACAGAATGCTTATTATCTGATAAATGTCTTATAATACTGGGTCCCTTTTGCTTAAAAAATTGTCCCCAATGCAAACTGAATGTGATAACTCCATGTCCCAACTTCGAATAAACCAAAATATGAAACAGCTACGAAAGGACAATTCATTGAAAGGAAGGCCATAAGGCAATTTGCAAACATCACATGCATTTGTTTTATATGAATATCTATAGTCACATACAGTATCAAAATGGAAATTAAAAGGGAAGGAATTCACTGTACAGAAGACAAAACAATACCCTTTTTATTTTTAAAACTCTGGTGAAATAGGTTTCCATGACATCCCATTTTAAAAAAATTAATGTAAACCAACCTGCCTGTGGGTTAGTCACACTATAGAGACTTCGTCATAGTGTGTACAGATGCCTAGAGTATTTACAAATGTTGTCTGTTAGGTAGTAAAGTTTTGTTGCAATTTTTTCCAGCACATATTCCACAGTAAAATAAAGGGAGATATTGGTGTTCTTGTATAAAAATTCTTAACAAATGGATAAAGGCAATTTTCCTGAGAGAAGATTTGTTCTTGAAATATTTTTCTTTAACAATCGGAAATATAGAAATGGGATGTAGTTGTAAAAGAAGCATAAGAATGTCTAAGTTAACATTTTTCTTTTAAATTATTTTAAGTACCATTAAGTTAAAATGTTTACATTCATTATAAAAAAATGTTGTTAAATCTTATGCAAATGATTTAACACTGATTGCTGCAACGCAAATTGCACTTTTTTAAAAAATTATTGTATACATGGAAGAAAAATATCTTGTTTGCTACCCTGTTTACGAATTCCAACTGATGTCAGATCAGTCACACAATATGAACTTTGAGAAATTTCAGTCACAGTGTATGTTACAGTTATAATGCAGTCTTGCAAACTGAGTAATATTTTTGACAAGAGACCTCATGAACCGACTCAGCCTCCAGGTGTGTACCAAATGGCCTCAAATGGTCTTCTCCATGAACACATGTAAAATTTGGGTATGGATGGAAAAGGTACAAAGAAATTCTGGAATAACCAAAACCAATCAGAAGAAGCACATGATTTGGGGCAATACACATAAAACCTTTTTTAAAAATCTCTCTCAATGTTCCTTAGCAGGCAAGGCCCCACTCCTAGTCCCAGTCTCTGGAAGTGGCACAGTGAACACTGAATCCCCTGGCAGACCCAGAGGCAGGCTGGCTGGAAGGGGCTGTGGCCAGGGAGGAGGTGACGTGCTGTGGGCTGCACTGGCCCTTCCCCAGATGTGCTCCATCTTCTCCCTGGCTCTTCATTGACAGGGGCTGGGTGGTAAGGTAGAGAAAGCCTCTTGGGAAATGCATCTCTTTCAAAATAAAGGCACGGAAATTATGCATCAGAGGAATGTTCTGTCAGCATATTCACCCTAGTTTGGACGGGGTGACAGAATCACTGTAGGTCCCGAGGGCCCTCCCGCTCCCAGCAGCGGGCTCAGGCCAGGGCTAGTGCGCACCATGAATCCTGTCTCACCGAAGAGGACGTGACTTCGGCTGGCGAGGCCAGGCTGACACCTATATACAGCCCATCTTGACCTGAGTACTTGAGCTCGCTGTTCTCTGGGTTAGTGCTTTCTCCTGCGCCAGACATCACCGGGGCACCCGCCTGGCGGAAGAAGGGACAGAGAGGAGAAAGAGAAGGGGAGAGAGTTATTGATGAATTTGTCAGGCGGCATTCTCCAGTTAGGTGAACACCTTGCAGGGATGGGGTGGGGGGGTATGGACAAATGAGGCGGGCGGTACAGCCGGGGCAGGGCCAGCCACTGTGCTATGTGGTGCCATTGACCTAGCTCTGGAGGTCTGCGTGCCCAGAGACACATTCTTGTTCTCTTCAGAACTCAGGGAAGTTACCACCTGGCAAGATGCGCAGTTGGACAAAAGTAGAAAAAAAGGAAGCCTATCTGTAAAAAGTGCCAAACCCTAAAATCTCTGAAAGTGAAACCAGCCACACCACATAGGTAAATAGGCCCTAGTAATGCCCACACAGTCTAATCATTTCAAAGGAGAAAATGCAGAGCGTTACACACACACACACACACACACACACACACACACACACACACACACACACAGCAAAGCCACGAGGCTTAGCAATTATGTCAAAGTGTAAAAACGAAAGCTGCAGTTCAGCAAGGCCTGATAAATGAAAATTTTTGAGCACTGACTTCACAGAAAATTGACCCACTCATACACAGGTTTTAATATCCACCTCATTTACCTTAATTCTTTTCCAGAAGGACGGGCTGTGTTTGAAGCAAACCACATTATAAAGAAAATGCTAACATCCTATATGTCATGATCGTGGCAATTATTTCGTAAAGCAAAAGGTCACCTTTCTCATTTCATCCATTTCTTCCGTCCAAATGAGAAAGGCCAAATAGAAAACATGATATAATTTAGTAGAATCAAACCAAAATAACTAAAATCATGTTTAGATTAGTTTGAGAAAACAGCTGCATTTGACTTTTAAAAAAAATTCTGGCCATAATCACATACTTTTTAATCCTGCCTTTTTCCTTCTAAAAGCCCAGAAGTCCATTATTTCTTTCATGTTTTCAGAGTTCCACCCCATAAACGACTAGATACTTGTTTTTTGACACAGGTAGAACATTTTGTACTTCATAAAGCATTCCTTTTTTACATATACAATCTCATTAAATCCTTAAAACATGTGTCTGGCTGAATTGATGTTACATCCACTTCAGAGAAACACAGGGCACCAGACAGACACAGGCTGAACTGAATCGAAAGTGGTGTAGTGAGCCCCCTTGGCTCCACTCAGGGGCCTGAAAGTAAACGTAGTCCTTCTCTTCCCTGGATAAACTCTGGTTTTCTCTCTAATCTTCACAGTATCCTCATGAGGCTGGGAGGAGGGGCTCAAGGAGGTCTAACCATGTGACACCACATCTGCCCATGCGAACTTCCTCCCAGCTGGACAGATCAAATCCAGCCCCTCCGCAGGTATCCGACCCTTCCCTTTCCTTGCAAAAATGAGGGTTTTTAAAAATCCAGCAACAAAGGTGTCCCCACATCCAAACTTCTTTTTAAATAACACAAATATAAAAAGATAAACTAAGGGCTTTGGGTGCATGGAAATGCAAATTTCAAAAGTCACTGAGATGTCTAAGATATTAAATAAAATCTTATGAAATTTTTGGAATAGCAGAAATAATCCTGTCAAACACACTGAAGAGATGGATTTGGTTACACGTATAAATATGGTATTAACTTTGGCCCTTAAAAATCCAGAGCCTCCACTATGAGCAAAGCCATTGTGGACCCAGATTTAACCCCCAAAGAAATAAACAAAAGGAAGATACGAAATTACAAAACGACTCTTCATTTTAGAGTCCTTCATTAGCTATCATATGACTAGTAAGAGTTCCTTTATAAATGATTTGTGCCACACCCAACTTTGTATTGATCTATTTATTCCCCCAAAAATCACTTCTGCATTTATCTGACCAAATCTGACTTCAGCACAGCAAGTGCTATTCTCTGAAATGAAGAGGATGTCTGGATTGGCCCAGGAAGCAGCCCATCTCAAATGGCCAAAAGTGTAGAGATAGCAGAGTGGTCTGTTGTCACTACAAGTCAGCAACAAGGAACATTAGCAAGGTACTCATGAGATCTGGGCACTGGATTGGTGAGCCCCAAAAAGATAGTTGCTCCCTGGACAAGCTCCCAGGCCAGGACGAGGAACCAGGACACATACGTACTTTAAAGTAAGACTGCTCAACTGCCTATCGTAAATGCTGAATGAGTGGCTGAGACAGGGAGGTGGGGAAAGAGGTCCTAAAAGGAATAAGAAAGGAGAAAGGATTCCTGGGGAAGGGCCAGAGTCAGCCAGCATGGTGGACACTAGTGTGGGCTTTCAAGTGCTCTCCTGGTTCTGCCACCTACTGAGTGGGGTCACCTCCATGAGCTTCCTCTTCGGTAACTGGCCCTTGTCTTACCTACCTCAGGTATGGTTGTGACAATTAAATGAGATGTTTGTAAAAGCATCAGCCTGCTGCCTTGCCATGTTCACCATTTCATAAAGGTAAGCCATCATTACTGGCGAAGAAAGGGTATTCTGCATGGGAGGCATGCAGGACCTGGGAGCCTGTCCACAAGAAAAGCCAGCTAAAACAGAAAGGTTAAGCAAGGGAGTCAAAAGAGACAATATGGGAGAGGTAAAGCAAAAAGCCTGACCTAGAACTTTCTGTGCCTCAGTTTTCTTACTAGAAAGTGCAAATAAAGAAAAAAATATATATGTATGGTTGTTGCAAGAATTAATTTAGTTAATATACATAAAGCCTTTACAAGTGTCTGACAATAGTAAAGACCACGAGTATATAATATTAGTATTATTATTGTTGTTAAGGTTAACGAGTGTAGACCTGATTCCATCCTTCAACAGGTGAGTGAGCTACAGTCATCAGTGGGTGGGAGCAGCAATGGGAACTCATCCAGAGCTAAGAGAAAACTGCCTAAACAATCACCTTATTCTAATTGTTACTGACAGCTCTACGCAAGGGAGAAGCAAGGAGCTTGCTTCCACCGCCCTTCTAAAGGCTCACTGGCCATTTTCAAATAAGCCACATTAAAGAAATCTTTATAATATTTATAATCTGAACAATATTTTTGTTACACTTGAGCAATAATCCCAAAAGCTACCAGCTGTGATGCCTAGTCTTCTTAGTTCAGATAAAAATGTTATGCTTTGTGTCAAAGGGCAGGCAAACTCCAAATTATAGGAGATGAGCTCATAAAAATATTTTACACACACACACACTCACTCACCTGATATCAAAAGCAACATCTGACTCTCTCGGGAAAAAGTGAAGCAAGTACTTGTACCCAAAGCTTGAGAATCTTATTTGCAAATGAGGCTACACTATTTAAACATAAAATGTTACAAGTAAAACTTTTGTGTATGTCAACTGTACCTCAATAAAAAATAAGATTTTTGTGTAACAATACATGAGATCATAATGATGAGATTGGATGAAATTGTGATAACCCCAGTACCCTCATCTATGGTCAATGGGGCTATATTCTAGTACATGCCTTACAAAGCAGTTAGAGCCATCAAGAATGTTATACCCTACTTAACTCTGTAAATTTTACCTCTGGAAATGTATTATAAGGAAAGAATTCAAAGGAAGGGAAAGGCTCCACATGGGAAGATATCCATTGCAGGTTTACTTATAATAGTGGAAATCATGGAAATAATCTAATGTCTAATATGAGGATGGTTTGAAAAAGCAAGGCATATCCGCTTAATGAACTATTATGCAATTATTAAAAATAAGATCATGTAGCATAATGGAAAAAATTCTGTAATACGTTGTTAAGTGAAAAAAAGCAGGATATAAATTCTATGCTAAAATTACAAAGCGTCCATACACACACAAGAGTATTTCAAGGAAACTGAGGAGGGCATGTGAGGCAGGGGACTATCTGAGAGGGCCCAACCTATTAGCCATCTATGCCTTTCTGAATGCTTTAATTGAATGGCATAGTACAGTCTAAATTTGGGGGAAGAGTAGAGGACACTATCACCAGAACCATGGGGCACAAACACTGGAGGGATGATCCAGCCTGGATGGAGCAGCATGAAAAACAAGGAAGAATCAGAGTGGAGTCACTAACAGAGAAGGGAGAATCAGAAGGGGCCTCATGCACCTCTGAAGTCACTTCCATGCCACGTGGCATAGGCTGGAACCTGGCTAGCCGTGCCCACGTGAAACACGGTTCCAGTTAAAGTGCTGAACACCCCACATGGGTTCACCAGTAAAACCTGAGCTCATGAAACCGGTATTCTAAGAGTAGAAGTCCAGAATTGGCCCAATTCTCCATAAGAAACCTGGCTCGTCATATCATTATTCATCTTAAGTGCCTTTTTCTTCATTGGTGATATTCAAGAGCTACCTATTGAGAATTAATACAACATCAGGAGAAAACCAGAGAAAAATTATGTATGACCCTGGGCCCGGCACACACATATAAAAACACAAGTACAAATTTTAATTGGTTAATATGTTTTCCCACATCTTGTTCAACCCTTGAAAGGACTTTAGTGCAGATCACAGACACCTCAACATAGCAAAAAGTAGGCATTTCGCTAACCTAAATCAATTTAATCTGCCCACTGTTTCTGAACAACAGGAGAGAATAGTGCTTGGGAATGCCCACAGCTGAACCATCCTTCCTCCTTTCTGCTGGCAGCTCAGGCAGGCACAGGCGGAGGTCCTCTCTCTTTCTGTGATCAAAGTGCAATGTGAGGGTGGAGCAGAAATCTGTTCTGTGTTTCCATTCACAGCTTATCTGCCCTCCACCCTCCCACAGACAACTGAAAATGGAGGCACTTCCTGTTGAAAAAAAAAAATGTGTTATCAGCACCAGACCCAGCCTGGGCTTAGCACTGAAAGCAGTCCTGGTTAGGTGGGAGACGACAGACCGGCAGAGCAGTTGGGCTGGAAAACTCCCTCCTAAAGGAATAAATGACTTCAGGAACAACTTGGCTGCTGCAGACCAGGACATGGAAAATATCTACTAGCCTGTGAAGAAGGCACAGTTCATCTTTAGATCACTAGATTTTCTTTTTTCCGCGATGAGAAT